AATCTCTTCATAGTAATGGCACCAGTATGATCTCCCTGATCATCCCTCCAAAGGACCAGATATCTAGAGTAGCCAAAATGTTGGCTGATGAGTTTGGCACTGCTTCAAACATCAAGAGCCGAGTTAACAGACTCTCTGTACTTGGGGCCATCACTTCTGTACAGCAAAGACTAAAACTCTACAACAAGGGTATGTGTTGAAATTGAAATCCCAGCCTTTTTTTTGTTGGGGTTGTGTTTTTATTAGAACATGTGCTAAAGAAGGCCTAATAAAGTACCTTTTAAATCAAAGCTAATTTACGTTTTCACATATTGTACAAGAAACATTTCAAATAAGACACAAAAATACCCTGTTTGAACTCTATGTAAAAATGTAAACTCTTTTCTATAATATATTCTAATTTTAGCCATTTCTTTATAAATTATTTATTTCTCTGTATTAACGCTTAATATTTGTCTAACTTGATTCCTTTCCTCGTCTCTTTTATCAGTGCCGCCCAATGGCTTAGTTGTGTATTGTGGCACAATTGTGACAGAGGAAGGCAAAGAGAAGAAGGTCAATATTGACTTTGAGCCTTTTAAACCAATCAACACATCTTTGTACCTTTGTGACAACAAGTTCCATACTGAGGTGAGAGATTTCACTTGGTGTCTTTTTTTTTTTTTGTCAGGGATAATTCTTCGGGTCTAAACTTGTCTTTAAGATTGTTTTATTTGCCCCGTTTCACATTTTTTTTGTCTCTTTTCACTACCCACTAACACAGGCATTGACAGCTCTGCTCTCTGACGACAGTAAATTTGGCTTTATTGTCATTGATGGTAGTGGGGCACTGTTTGGCACACTTCAAGGCAACACCCGGGAGGTGCTGCACAAGTTCACTGTGGACCTACCCAAAAAGCATGGTACTGACCCACAATATCAAAAAACTCTATTTCTATTTTTTCTATTTTGATTTTAGTTTAATTTGATAGAAAAATATTATATATTTGAAGCTTTTTGTTTTGCCATTAAACAAACATAACATTTGTCTGTTTTGTGTTTCCTCTCTTAGGCAGAGGAGGACAGTCTGCTCTGCGTTTTGCTCGTTTAAGAATGGAAAAGAGACATAACTACGTGAGAAAAGTTGCTGAGACCGCTGTCCAGCTCTTTGTGTCCAATGACAAAGTTAATGTGGCAGGAATGGTCTTGGCTGGCTCTGCCGATTTTAAGACGGAACTTAGCCAGTCAGACATGTTTGACCCAGTGAGTCTTTGTTTGTTTTTTGTATTATTCTCTCCCTCTAAAAGATTTATTACATTGTTTTAAACACTGATAGAATTAACATTTATTTGTCCTTTGCATTGTTGCAGCAGCAGACATTAATTGTAGTATAATAATCATAAACTAAGTCTGAAATCAGCCCTAAAGCAATTGAGAAAATTATTTCAGAAGCATTTAACTCTTGATTCATTGTGAGAAGGATTCTAGGAAAATGTTTTTAAATGTTTTTTATGTTTTTCCCCCAAACATTTATGAAATATTTCCCTTAAACATAGTTGGAATATCTTAGCTTTTTGTGAAAATATCAATATTCAGAGGATTATCTGCTCGTTGTGGAAGCCAAAGATGCTACTATAATATATACATAAATATCTTTTTATGTGAGCATGGTATCTCAGTACTGTACTAAGGTTGTGTGTGTATTGTTGTTTTTCACAGAGGTTACAGGCCAAGGTTTTAAAGCTGGTTGACATCTCTTATGGAGGAGAAAATGGTTTTAACCAGGCTATCGAGCTCTCTGCAGAAGTTCTTTCAAATGTTAAGTTCATTCAGGAGAAGAAGCTCATAGGTAAGAACACTTCTTGATGTTTTTAGGGTGCTGTCTTTTATTTGGTGGACATTTTACTGAGTGTTATTTTTTTTCCCCCTTTTTCTGCAGGGCGGTACTTTGATGAGATTAGTCAGGACACGGGCAAGTACTGCTTTGGAGTGGAGGACACACTGAAAGCCCTAGAGATGGGAGCAGTGGAGATCCTCATAGTCTATGAGAACTTGGACACCATGCGCTATGTTTTACGTGTGCATGGGGCCGAGAGCAATGGAGCTGAGAATGGTACAGATATCTTGTTTTGTCTTCACCTGATCAAAAGACTGTTTGTGCTGTGGCATTTATCATGGGATTATCATGTTATTATAACTTTGTTTTTCAGATGAGAAAATTTTGTACTTGACGCCAGAGCAGGAGAAAGACAAGTCTCACTTCACAGACAAGGAGGTGAGTACTACAGAAGAAAGACATATCTAAAAGTTAWGTCAAGCCTTTTACTCATAATTCACTTTTCTGACTCTTGTGTTTGTAGACGGGGCAGGAACATGAGCTGATCGAGAGCATGCCGCTGCTAGAGTGGTTTGCGAACAATTACAAAAAATTTGGAGCCACTCTGGAAATTGTAACAGACAAGAGCCAGGAAGGATCTCAGTTTGTCAAGGGCTTTGGAGGCATTGGGGGTGAGCACCTGGAGGTTGTTGGAAGTTGCAGGATTTGTGACATTGTATTTTAACACTTGAGCAAAATGGAGTTGAGAGACTTGATGTGGTTTTTGTAGGAAAATAAACAAACTGATAGCTTCAGGACATTTAACCTTCCATCTGTCAACAATTGTTTACACACTTCTGCTCTAAATATGTTTTATGATAAAAAGTAAGTTGAAAAGATGTGTAGTACTGTTTTTTATTTTAATATGTATTAGTTAATAAGTGACAGATACTTAAAGGGGTTTGATTTAGCCTATTTTAATTTTCTCCTTTCTACTGCCACAATCTTGCTGAAAAACAAAATGTCAAGCATCAATTTTCCAGTAGTTATTATTAATCCTTTTTATTATCCACAGGTATCTTGCGGTACAGGGTGGATTTCCAGGGCATGGAGTATCAAGGAGAGGACGATGAGTTCTTTGATTTGGATGACTACTAGGTAGTCTTGGACTGGTTTTAGGAGAAGAAAAGAAAGAAAGGAACGAATGAAGAAAAAAGGAAAAGAAAAAATGCCACCTCTTCTGCGGCAAGTGAGAGGGGAAACTGTGTTGACCATATATATGACAGACACACCTTCCAATTTACTTGTTGCATACACAAACTTGCAAATACATCTGTACACTCTCAAAATGCATCACACAGGCTGGAGAGGAGTGAGATTTTCTTGCAGCCAGAGAGGGAGAAAGCCCTTCCTGAATATATCCCTGCCTTAGAGTGCTGGTTCCTTCCCCTTGTTGGATTGGACTCAACTCACATTGGTTCAGTTTCTTTCCTCTTCCCATTCATTTTGACTGAACACAACAGCAAGTTCCCAGATTGCTTGTTGCCCCTAACATGGTCTAAAGATGGACATTGGACTTGCTCCTCAGATATAGAAAATATATTTTCATTTCTGGCCTCATAATGTCCCTACTCTCTCTTTTTTTCCCCTCTATGCTTTCTCTATCTCTCCTTTTTTTTCTTTTTTGCATTTCATTTTTTTACTGGTAACTGCTGCTGTTGTATTTTATGAGAGCGGGAGATTTTTTTTACCTGGGATTTCTGTAGAGAAAGGGGGACAAAGTATTAAATTTGAACTGCTGAAAACCATCGCTACCTCCTCATCTGCTGTGGTCTTGATCCTGTGCCATGTGTGACTTCTTATTGAGAGTGCCAACTTCTTTTCCTGGTTGTCCTGGCATGAACTATGCATAGTAGTTCTGTATAAGTGAAATATGCAAAACTTAAACACAAGAGGTTTAAAAGTTGGATAAATCACCACAATCTGACAGTTCATTCTAAAGTGCTTGACTTTACATCAAATTTATTTTATGTGCATTAATCCCCCAATGAATTTCTTTTTAAATACAATTTATTTCACAGGTATCCTTTTTTACCAGATTCCATATGATGATGAGGATTTGTCTGAGGAATGTTTGTATTTATAAATTTATGCATAAGCCTAACTATCAAAACTATTTGTAGGCTGAAACTTTAAAATTGACCTAACTTTCTAGAGAAAGAAATTTGCCAACTGCTTTTCCTAAAGTAATAAAAAAAGATGGGCTTTTTATTCATAGTTGCTTGTGAATGATTTTTTTTACCCTAGAAATATGTCATTGTTTTATCAATACACTAAATCTTAAAACACTGACTAAACAAGCTCATTGTGAATATTGAGCTTGTGTTACTTACCGTAAGTTTCTCCTTGTCCTTGCCAAAAATGTGTGTCACATCTGTTGGTTTATTATAAGTTGAATTTGAGTTWAAATTCTGTGCTAACAATTGGTTTGATGGTTGTGAAATTGGGCAATAAGTGCTCAAAAGCATCCTACTCAACATCCTAGTGTCCTATTTCATGACATTCCTGACAGTAAAGGAGCCTGAACGACCAAGAATAAGAGATGCATGTCAAACAAGTATACTCTGTGACTTAGTCACAATTGGATTTGCATAAGTCTTAGCAGAAATGAACTAAGGATAAATCATGAAACGCCAGCAAAAATATTGCATTTCCCTTTTCAGATTGTATGTATTAATGTTGTAACTACTATGTTTTTGCTGTACCGATTTATTTCAAACCTGTCAGTCATGGGTGTTGAAAATGTACTCAATTGCTGCACTGCACTTTAAATTCAGACCACAAGTTCTGTTTTTTCATCAAGCTACATTTAAATGAGTAAGTGCTTTTAATCACATGCAGAATGTTATAATGGCCAACATCCTGCAGCATTTCATAGCAACGCTATGCGGATGATTGATTTTGCCTTAGTGTATCCCTCTTCAGGATAGCAACAGCATCTTTATCCAGTTGCCTTGTTGTTTGGGGGAGTCACCAGGAAAAGCCTTGGTAGCACGACAGGCCAATCAATAAAAGGGAAAGCAAGGAGGCCCCGCCTCCTTAGACAAAATCTGTCCAATCAACGTGTATCTTTATTGCATGGGCGTTACCATCCCCCCACCTACCTTTGACACTGCCTAACTAAAGCTGTGCGGTTGTGCGAAGTGAATGACGTCTGAATTTGCGGGCCGCCGACGCAGGGRTGGGTTTCCATTTTCACAGCGAGTTTCGGGGGGGATCATCAACATGGAGCCAGAGATGGAAGACAAAACGGTGGAACTGATGGTAAGATTTGTTTCGGTGTGATATACTTGGCCTTTGAAAGGATCGCTGTCAACCCTTTTTTGGGGGACAAAGACAAAAAGCGCCGAGGCTCGATTCGACGGTAGAAATGAGCCGAAGCGGCTTGTCGAGAGGTGGAGGAGGAGGGGGACCAGAAATCAGAGGGAGGGCCTGAAATTATCGGTACATTTTGCTAAGAAAGCTCATGGCTGTTGAGGTTCATAAACGAAAACTCAGTGATTATGTGTAGCAAAGAACGTGTTGTTTGTGTTGTCAATTGTTAATATTCGGGGGAAGTTAATAAAAATAATATTCGGTCGTCGGCGGAAGACAGACGAGGTTCTTTCGTGTAGCGTTCACTGCGGTGCCGCTGCGCCACTTAACCGGGCCCTGATACTTAACTAGCCTTTCTGCTAACACAAGCTAGGAGTCAATGAACCTCGTCAATTTACGTTGTTCTGTTACGTACTTTATGAGTAGACATTTTACAAAGTAGTAGTTGTTAAGAATAGTTACGGTATGTCAGATTACAACAACAAGCAGCGAGTATACTAACAACGTGCTTCTTGTCTGTTTATATTTCTAAAGTGCGTAGAAGGAAGTGTACGGCTTTTTCATTCACATAGCCTTAGCCGTTAGCTTTTTAGCGAGCATGCTAAATTTGACTATAATACTCGACAGACATTTTCATATAAAATTAAAGTGATGTATCGGTACAATTATTGATATACAAGAATAACAGTATCATTTATAGACCGTCAGATTTATCCATCTATTGTTAGGTTTCTGCTTTCTCGATGAGGAAGCTAACTATTTGCTAACATTAGTGGTAATCAAATCAACGGGGCCGAATAAGGCACACATTATGATATTGTTTAAAAAACGTGTTTATTTTTTACTTTATTTGGAATTTTATGTAGTTAACCTATGTAATAAAATACTGTATACACACATCTGGAAGATGTACATATTTTACTCGTTTATAAAAGCTCAGGGCTCTCAGTTCCTCTTAACAATCCATGCGCAATTCTATGTCCTGATACTAAACTGTAGGTTTGGGGAGATGGAAAGATGAATGACAAACTGATGGWGCAGTAAAAAAAAGTTAACACTTAATCAATGTGTACACACAAAAAAGTAGCTTTTAAGTTGGTAATCAATTGCCCTAACACAACAAGAGACAATTAARAGCCATTTCATGATTATGTTTATCATTATAAAATAAGCACTTTAAAATCTGTCTGTGGAAACTGCTAAGTTTAACTGTATTTGAAACCATTGTATAAAAATACCTCTACAGAAACTCAGATAAACTTCTGCTTTGGTTGGATTTATAAGCAAAGTGTACTGTGTTTGCACAGATTTTGTGTTATTATTATTATTTTTACTTTATGTTAAATGTTATAGATCACACTGAAATTTTCTTCTTTTGAGATTTTTTTTGTCCCCCCACACTCAAGACTTTCAGATTTATTATTATTATTATTATTATTATTATTATTATTTTGTCTGGGTTATTTCTTTTTATGTACTTTTTATTGACTATTTTTGTTTCAGTGTTATTCACTAACCACTCATGAGAGTGGGGATGGCAGAACAGTTGGTGGGGTTTCGGTTCAACATGAATGACAATAATTGTCAATTAATTCTGTCGCCCGTCCCTCTTCTCTACGTATCTCCACCCGATTCATGTCTAAATAATAATGCTTTTTTTGTGTGTGTGTTTATCAGTCTGTATCTTGTGTGTGAATGAGTGTGTGTGTGTTCCTACGCTCACTGTGCCAATGTGTGTAGCTCTAATACTGGTTTTTCCCCTCACTATCCCCCACCTCTTCCCTTCTTTTCTCCTTTCACCTTTTTAATGGTTGCACACTTGCCTCTTCTCAATTTTCTAAACGACCCCCGTTTATTTATTCATTATTTTGTACTCTTGCACAAAACCATACTTCATTTCTCTTGTCCCTCGCCAACTCTCCCACTCCATCTGTCCATCCATCAACTCAACTATTCACTCACCTCTTTTGGTTTCCTTTACTCAACTCCCTCCATCAACCTTCCAACTCCGTTTTTCTTTCCTTCCCATCTTCTGATCTCCTGCTCTTTCTTTTCTCTTCCTCCCTCACCCTGTCCACTTCGTTCTCCTCTTCCCTTCCTCCCTTCCTCTCTCTCTTTCACACAGTGCTCTGTGCCTCGCTCTCTCTGGCTGGGCTGCTCCTCGGTGGCTGAGAGTTTGTGTGCACTCAGGTGCCTGCAGAGCATCCCCTCCACCCGGGCTCACAACCAGGTTCTGCCTCTCTCCTCTTAATTCTGCTGCTCCTCCTTTTCTCCCCTTTTGCCCTTGTCATCACATCACCCTTCACTTTTCTTTGCCCACTCCATACGAGTCCTCATACCACCTTGGTGCAGACAGACTGCACCCACTCACCCTCCACCTCACCTTCTTACCTCCTCACCTTTTGTTGTCATTTCCTCCTGCTCAGCTCTTGGCTTCTCTGGTGCTTCATCCAGCTCTTTCTGCTTGGAACTTAAAAAACAACAACAAACATTTAAAACACATTTAACACAAAGGTTTAAAAAAATACCAAAAAAAAATCCATTTGGTCATAGTTTTTTTTTTTTTTTTGTCATTTGAATAGAGAAAAGAAGCAGGAGATTACCAGAGAATAACCATGCATTGAGTATTCTGTCTCCTACCTGGAGGTGTGAGGGCCGAGGTGTGTGTGTGTGTGTGTGTTTGTTTGTTGTGTGGGGGCGGGGACAGGAGTTCCTCCTTTAAAACTCTGAGAGGCTACATGCTTGCTTGCTGCCTGCCTGGCATAACCTTGTCTGTTTTTAGTTGATTCTGTTCTGCCCTGCATGAACATCAACACCAACAAGACTAATCGGACTGTGTCTTGTCTGTTTTGATGTTGGCCCATGGACTTTTTCTTTAGTCTTCCTAGCGGTGACTTTTTTCTTTTTTTCCCCTTTGGTGATTTCCATCTCACCTCTTGATGTAGTGGCAAGGGTTCTTCATTTTTACAAAAGTAGTTTTTGTTATCAGCACTTAATATAGACGTTGCTTTTAAAATATACAAATTTTCTCAGTTGGGCTCTGTTACATCTTAAAGAATTTGATGACCTTTTATTTTTTCCAACATAGCCATTTTCATTGACTTACTTAACTCTGTCTCCACAGATACAAATAATCATTCCCTCCTTGGTAAAGCCGTGTGTGTGTCCTGTCTCTTAAAATTAGTATCCAAATATTTAAAGTTGGAGGGAAAAAATAGTGAGCAACAAATTGTGTGTAAATATCTGCAGCTTTACTCTTATTTTTTTGTGCTCTACAAGTTTGAGAGCCTGCACGGATATGCAAATTTGCAAGAAAAAAAATATCCTGACAGATGCAAATGATTATTTAAAAGGACTCTAATCTAGAGTTGTTTTAAGTCGGAAGAAGAAGAACCAGAAAGAGCGAACCTCGATAGATTCGAATGTCTCAAATAGTTCGCAAACAATATAGATTAATTATGAAATATTAACTCTGAGTCTGACATTWGCAGCTTGTGCTTTTATATCAACCCAGTTCATATTAAAATGCTATGGCTCTCATTAGCATCCTTACGCGCCACCCCTAAATGACATCTGTGATTCTGAAATTAGGGACATGCTAGACATTGTTGTCATTATCTCCCTATCTTCTGTGAATGATTTAAGACCACTATCTGTTTTATTACTGCCATGCCTGAGCTGGTGCCAGTGACATACCAAAGATTTTACCCTTTAATTTCCTGTCCAGACTACGTAGCCCACATCACAGACAAGTAAACAGATTCCTTTTGTTGAAATGCTCAGTTTTCTTAACTCCATATGTGTGTGAATGCACGGCTGTCTGTGCACGCACAAGTTTGAAAACTTAAAAGTTACCCTTTTGTGGCTGTGTTTGTGACACTTATGTGTCTAGCGCTGTCCACGATGCTTCCATGGCTCTTATGCTTTCTACTCAAATAAAATGGTGGAGTATGCTAACTTGTGCATTCTTTGTTTTTTTTTTTTGTTTGTTTTTTTGCATATGTCAATAGAATACATCAGGGATGGAGTCACAGAACTTAGTGGACGATCTGTCGCCAAAGAAGAATACAGTTCTGAAGGTATTTATTTTTTATATTCTGTTTGAATATGCTTGTTGCATTAAAAAGGAACAATTGGAATAAGCTTGTTTAAATTGTTTGATAAATGGAAAAATATGTTTCTGTTTGCTTTCAGTGTCGTTGGAATATGGAGAAATTATTATTGATGATGTTGATATTTAGTTATAACAACATATAAAACAACCAACATATTGGTTCACAGCATTTTCTTTTATAACGTGTTTTTTTGTTTGTTTTTTTCTTCTCTTTAAATTACATTTTCAGATCAGTTATAAAGTTAGCCTGGATTCAATCATTATTGTATATCTTCTTTTCTAATTTCTATTTCTAAAACCACATGTGGTTCTTGTGACTTGGAATTTTTTTAATTTTTATTTTTTTTGCCAACAATCAAACTGATAAACCCATAAAAGTCTGATTTAAATTATCATACTAAGGAAAAAGTGAGCTTAAGTTGAATATTTGTCATGTTTTATTTATTATTTTACAATGGGAACTACATTTCATTACATAATATATAAATGTGTCACATTAGACACAATGTGTGTTGTGTGTCACAACAAATGGCGTTACGACACTTAATGAGAAGGAAAAAAAATGAATGAGTTGTACATAGTCGCGCCACATTGAAGTGTTGTCTCTTTTAAAGAAATTACATAATTGTATCTAAATGTTATAAACTCAAGAGAAACAAACATCTGATCAGTCTGTATTTTATGCTGTTGTTTACAGCTTAGTAACGGCCCTGTTGTGGGGTCTCGCAAGCGTCCATCAGAAGGGAATTATGAGAAGGAGAAGGAACACTGCATCGCCCTGTTCGACCAGTGGTCAGAGGCCGACCAGGTGGAGTTTGTTGAACGCCTGATTTCCCGTATGTGCCACTACCAGCACGGCCACATCAACTCCTACCTCAAACCCATGCTGCAGAGGGATTTCATCACTGCATTGCCAGGTACAAACATTCATACTTTAGCCTTAAGTATAAAAATAACACTGTACAAAAGTAATGTACTACAATAAGATGGTTATTGTAGTTTGGTATAATCAGTTATTGAGAACAGTAACAAAACTCTGAAAAGGGGGGAAAAATGTTGTATAGATTAGTTTCTAAAGCTGTTATTTTTGATTGGAAAAAGTAAAAAAAATTTAAAACTTACTGGTTTTGTTCAGGAAAAAATTTAAAATGGAAAAAAAAAACTCTTTAAGAGAAGAAAAAGAAACAAAACAAATCCTGCTCATTTAACTGACACTAACTCGCCCTCATCTTCTTGTCTCCCTCCCTTTAGCCCAGGGCCTGGATCACATCGCAGAGAACATCCTGTCTTTTCTGGATGCACGTTCGCTGTGTGCAGCAGAGCTGGTGTGTAAAGAGTGGCAGAGGGTAATTTCTGAGGGAATGCTGTGGAAAAAACTAATTGAACGTATGGTCCGAACTGACCCTCTTTGGAAAGGCTTGTCTGAAAGGCACCAGTGGTGAGCATGATACACACACACACAAAGAGGTTTAACTGTTTCTTCTAGAAACAAAGTTTAAAAGTGTGATTTTTAAAATATTACGTAGTTTGTATTTMTACCTGGTAATCCTTCTGTTACTTTTCAGTACTTTAAAGAAGCTAAGTTCATGTTTTTTTTTTTTTGTCTTGTAGAATTTTATGAAGGGTAAAAAGAGTGGAGACACTATTGTTGTCGTTTTTTGAAGTATCTATTTGTTTCCTAATTTCAGGGAGAAATATCTGTTCAAAAATCGCACATCAGAAATCCCACCCAACTCCTACTATCACTCTCTTTATCCTAAGATCATTCAAGACATAGAGGTAAGATAAGCAGTTCAATTTAAGTTACAATAAATTATACCTTTTTGGTAAATTCCCACTGTTCAGTGTGTTTTTTTGTTCTAGTAATTGAGAAGATATTTTTTTTCATAATATTCTGTTAAAATCAATTTAATATACTATCTGATGTTTTATAGAACTTGGGGGACAAAAAGGCATGCCTGACCTCTTATTTGAAACTGACATAATTTATTACTTACTGGTTATCACATAAAATTCAGTTTTTTATTTTAAATTATATTCCTTTGTCTGCAATTTTTGTCTTTGTCACTCTGAGCTACAGTTTGACAGCACTGCACAATATTACTTATATAATGTATATGCAAAAATAATTAGTTTAACTTTTAATGCCGTACTATTGATTTTTAACACTGGAGAAGAGTCTTTGTGCCTCTGACTGAGTCTGTTTTTCAGAAATGAGGCCGTTTCCTCTTTCTCTTATGCTTTCCTGAGCAGAGCACGGAGCAGTGCTGAAAGATTAAGACTGTTGATAAAAATGTTCATCATTCTCAGCACTCTTGTCTTTCTGCTAGGGTTGAGTGATATTGCTCATTTTCCCTGACTATTTTTCTTTATATTTACAACCAAATCAATTGCTTTTGTTGTTGTTGTTGTTGTTTGCTTTTGCTTGTTTCACTTTTTAATGTATGCTGTCTATTCTTT